AATTGTCGTCAAGTTGTGTTCTGTCCATTTTTATACTTGTACCATCTTCACGATGGATGAATCAGATCTTAACTCATCATAAAGATGGTGAGCCACATGTTGAACACTCACCATTTGCCCACTTAAAATTATTTACTAAATATGGTATAAGTGTATTCAAGTGAAACAAATTGTATCGCATATATGTTTGATGTTTTTGCTTCAAAAAAAAATCATTTATATTTCTTACATACGTAAAATTAATTTATTTACGTCACCCCTAACTAGAATCTCTCTCTCTATATATATATATATATATATATATATTCAACAAAGTGTATATTTTTTTGTCACCATGGCAACTTTAAATATATGCGTACCCTCTGTGTACATGTTTTCATCTGTATATGATATCAATATAGAATATCTACGTTACTATTTTAAAAATGCAACCTACTTATGTTTTACTTTTTTTCGTTTTTTTTTTTATTGTCAACCATGTTAAAATGTTTTAACATAGAAACATCATAAAGTGAATTAGGAACGTGTGTTATCCATTTAAATTTTGACAGAATCAAAACTGAAGTTTTGAAATTTGAAATTCAATCGCTTCCTTGTACATAGAATTAGAACTTTTAAATTACTAGATAACTTAATTATAGTATGATTTAAAATGGGTTGAAGTCATTCTATTGTTGATATTTATCAAGGAATATTGAATGGTTTGATTTCATAATTGTTTTAGTCTAGCGGTTTTATAAGTAAAGATGGACAGTGGGTAGCGGTAGAATCCAGGAAACGCGTTTCGTCCTATTTGAGACTCGTCATCTTGATGTACACGCATCTCAAAGTTGGTGTTCACTCTAAGACTTCAGCACAGTACTGTTCGCTTCGAATACAATTGCGTTATCCACTTAGCTACTGAGTCTTGATAGCCATTCACTTGTGCAATAGGGTGAAGTTTAAATTCTCTTGAAACGAAGGGTACCGGGTTCAAGTCCCAGAGTGAACATCAACTTTAAGATGAAGGTACATCCAGCTGACGAATCCCGAATGGGACGAAACGCGCTTTCAGGATTCCAGTGCTAATCATTATACATCTTTGTTTATAAAGCTTGTGACTTCAGGTAATATCGAGGTAGTCCGTACAGTATGCACATATACCAATAAGAGACTGATCAATTTCAGTCCTAAATAACAATGGGATGATACAATTATACAACACCAAGTGAATATGAACTACTACAAAAATGATGGTTAAGATAACTGATTGATCTACTTTATAAGTGATCAGTATAATTCATCATATCTATTTAACATATTGTGAAACAATAGGTAATTAATCTCTCGGGAATTAATTAAATCAGACTAAGCATAAGATTTAAAAGTATCAGTTGGTTATACTTTTTTTGTCTAATAAAAGTAAACATTTGTTCTATAGTATCGGTTACTATGTTAAGCCGACATAGATGGTTATTCCAATCTCTGGACAGATCAGTCTATTCATTCGACTTAAGCTACACGTTCATCTTGTCAATTATTCACTTATTAATCCTGACTATTTTGTATATGTTGTATATGCGTTTATTGTTTACCTTATTCATCACATGTCTGTAACTTATTTTTGGTCTGACTATAAATATCGATTAACATTTGAGTAAATTGACTTGGCTCACTCACCTTCTCTCTCCATTGCACGTCATATCGTATCTTGCTTGGTTTTCTGATTATACGATATATAAGCATTCAAACTACATTTTCGTATTTGACTTATTTAATTCGGTTATACGAGGATTGGTGACATGTATATTTCAATAACAATCATTTGTCTGATCTAATTAAACACAGAACCTTGGCAACAGTTCCCTTTCTTCAAAAATAAGTCGTTAAATATAAATTTGAATTCACTTAGTATTGTTTGTTTGAATCTTCCCATCGATGTGTTAGGACTGCAACTCGTCAGTCTTTAATTGCCATATGTGCATACTGTACGTATCGCCTCGATATTGCCTTAAGTCACAAGCATTATAAGCAGAGATGGATAGTGACTAGCAGTGGAATCCAGGACTGTTATACAACAATTAATTCAATTCTCATTACATATTTTCTTAATTTCTTTAATCATGTCAGCGTGATTGTAATCGTCTTTAATACTATAATCATAAGTACTACTTGAATACTACTATCTGACTGACATATCTGAGAAGGTAACTGAAACTGAACTGAGGTTATCTTATTGAATGGCATACAATTCATTTTAAAATAGAGCTTTCAAATATGTCACGCAGATTTATTTCTTTAATGTTTAATCCAAACGGTGAAAATATCAGCGTAGAGGATTTTCGGAGATCCTCAAATTTTATAGTCTAGATCATGAACTGACTTATATGAGACAAATACTGAAATCCAATTAGAAATCTTAGACTTTTTCTTTATGCTTTTGGATTGCTTGGCAGTGGTTAAACTCATGACCTCCAAGTCTCTTAGTAAACTCTTAACATTTAAGTCATTGAGTCATATGTCAACAATATCTTCACCACAATACTACTTGGAGGTGATGTAGCTCAATGGTAGGATAATTACACTGTTCAAGGAGGGTTGAGCGTTTGGTCCTCGGAGTTTTAAAAGTTTTTAAACAGGACCGCCTGCATAATATCGCTAACTGACTGAAGTTAAACATGTAAATCATCGGATTTCGACTCAATAGTCCAAACGTTGTGCTATCTCGTCATTATCTGGCGATCTTGAGTGAGATCTTTAAGAGAGTTGTGGATGTTCACTACTGCAGAATCCTTTACCAGGTTGAAAAGACTTTGAGACGCTTCTTCGTTTAATTTAGATCAGTCAGTGACGAAAGCTGCAAGATGAACATAATTTGTAGTAAGAGATTTAAGATTATCATTTTATCAGATTATTATCTACGATGTTGTTATGTACGAATTCATTTTGTTTGTCATAAATCTATAAATCTAATGTCGGAAAATGACGAAAGCAAAATCCCTTGACTGAATTGCATAAGACAAGTTATATGCATTTTCCATTTCTGAAAATTGTTACCTACTATTTTAATCCATTGATTGTTTGATAAACTTCTAAACTGAAAAAATAACATAGAGTCAAGGTTTACATGGAATGCAAAATAATCATAACTATTTACAGTTGATTGATCACTGGATGGTGATCAATGTCATGTGTGTCAGGTACTTCTGAGTGCAGATCGAATCCTATCGATCAATAAGGCCACTAGTATAGGTGACCGGATATTGCGTATATTATGTTGAGATAAGATGGTGGTTGGAGGTATTCAACAGGAAACTCTGGACTTAGGTTTCATATTAATTGCCACTCGTCAGCAAAGTGTACCAGTAATCTTGAGGGGACTGATGAACCCTGACCGATTCGATTCCGTGTCACCCATCTTCACGGTCAGAGACGTTAACACTGAGCTATCTGGGCGCTGACTGACCCTCCTGAAGGACTGACATATATTTACAACTCACTGATTACTGGGTAGTGATCAAAGTCATATATGTCAGGTCCTTCTTAGTGTAAATCGAATGCTATTGACCATGTTGCCGTGTTACCAGAGAGCATCACTGTCCTCAAGATTACAGGTACACTTTGCTGACGAGTACCAAATAGCACGAAACCAAGGTCAAGAGTTTCTTTTTGATTTCCTCCAACTACCATCCTATATGTCGATTGTAACTTATGAACGACAAGACTGGTTTTGTATACTTTTGTATATTAGTATTTGTGAGACATTTTGCTGAAATTATAAATGCTATTCACGATATATCATTGAAAAGAAAATTCTCTTTTTACGGGTAGCTTACTATTAGGCTAACATGAACATTTTACCGGATGTTTTAACGAAAAAGTATAATCTGTATAGATAATCACCCAGGGAATAAGATTTGTTGGTCTATTCTAAGTTTTGAGTAAACATATGGTTTACTGAATTTTAAATCAATGACTTGAAAGTATCATATTTGCCAAGAAAACTAAAAGCACCTGATTTTATCCAGTGTAGTATGAAAGTAGGTTCAAACAGTCTTCTAGTTATTTCTTACTATCAGTAATATTTTCATCTAATAAGTAAAATTAATTCCCTTTTACTTGGCAACTATCATTCTGAACTAATTACTAATTAACTAAGTCTTAAGTATCCATCCCATATGTGTATACACTATTACAATTCATTTTCAAAGAAACATGGCTTGATATTTCATGTCAGTTAATAAACATTCCCACCTTATTTAGTCATATCCATCACTTATCTAAATGATGTGATTAAAATAATATAAAACTGAAAGTGTATTTTAAAAAGCAAACAAAATATCTTTTTTGAAAGCTAATTACTAGATTTATAAAAGGGACCCTTAGTTATTGGAGTTAAGCCATTTTGAGAGTAGAGTACTTATGTAGTGAACAGAACACGACTGAGGACAATCGAATGTATTTAAGCTAAAATTACAGACTATCTCAGTAAATTCTAATAACCATACAATGAACAGTTAATTTGCAAATTAACAACTAATAGTCTCAATCTTCACTGTTTCTTCTTTCATTCCATTGTTCGTGCATTTTCCTACCGATTGAGCTTCGTTTCAGTTCTTTCTTCATCGGTCTTCTGCCAAAATGCATTCTAGTCTGTTCAACAACATATACTACTTATATGGATATAAGTAGACCACACCACACTTACCCACCAATAATAATAAAATATTGATCGACAGTTGAACTCTAAGTCACTGAATACCAACCCAGTGATTGAAAAGTTAAGTATCTACTACAAAACCTGAAGATCAAGCATTCGATCCTCCGTAAGATCGTTAATGGCCACTTCTAAAGATTTCTATATTGGGACCAGACAGCTTTCCAGTGGCTCGTAGTTCTCAGTCTAGCTACGATCGGTAAATGATATAACCTTCAGAATAAAGCATTCACTATTTTTTTTTAATTCTATTATACTTATAATATATTGATATCTACAATCTTCACTAATTTATCAATTACAGATAGTAATTTTGTACTGGGTAATGCACAAGTACATGATTATCCTATTGTATATTGTTCTGATGGATTTGTTGAATTAACTGGTTATAATAGATCACAAATTATGTCAAAATGTTGTTCATGCAGTTTTCTATGGGGTGAACGAACTGATGATAATGCTAAACAATCAATATTAAATACATTAGAAAAGAAATCTGAATTACAAATTGAAATACAGTTTCATAAGAAAACAAGTAAGCGATTAATCTCCATGGTTATTGAAATATATTTTTTTGATGTGTTTGTTGTTGTTGTTGTTGAATATTACTTACTTATTTACTTACGCCTGTTACTCCCAATAGAGCATAGCCCGCCATCCAGCATTCTCCAACTCACTCTGTCCTGGGCCTCCCTTTCTAGTTCAATCCAATTCTTGTTCATTCTTCTCATACCTGTCTCCATTTCTCGTTGTATTGTGTTCTTCGGTATTCCTCTTCTCCTTTGACCTTCCAGATTCCATGTGAGTGTTTGTCTTGTGACTCAGTTTGGTGATTTCCTCAATGTGTGTCCTATCCACTTCAAGCGCTTCTTCCTCATTACTTCCTCCGCTGAAATCTGGTTTGTTGTCTCCCACAGTAACTTGTTGCTGATAATGTCTGGTCAACGGATCCGAATTATCTTATGTAGACAACTGTTAATAAACACTTGTATCTTCTGGATGATGGTATTCGAAATTCTCCAAGTTCTTGCCTCATATAGTAGAACTGTCTTGACATTTGTATTGAAAATTCTGATCTTGATGTTGGTTGACAATTGTTTTGAGTTCCAGATGTTCTTCAGTTGTAAATATGCTGCTCTTGCTTTACCGATCCGCACACTCATATCTGCATCAGATCCATTGTGTTTATCGTTGATGCTGCCCAGATATGTGAAGGTTTTCACATCCTTCATTGCTTCTCCATCAAGTGTAATTCGATAGGTGCATACTGTATTTTATCGGAGAATCTTGAATTTTCCCTCTGTTTATATTGAGACCTGCTGCTTCTTAGGCTTGTTGTTGAATATAGCAACCATTATTTCTTATATGAATGAATGGTTAAAAAATGTTTTTTTCATAAGTGTTCTTCTGAATCAGTAAAGTATTATGTATTTACCGCCCGTGATTGATTGCCTAATATAATGTGTGAATAATTGAAGGTTGAATTCCCACGGAAACCAGATTATTAGTAACTATTCAGGTAGAAAAAGAAGAAAAGCGATTTGTACACATATTTCGAACATATTGATGCACAAAAGTACCAAAAAAAAATCATGGTTACCAAATGGATTAACGCTTTAACAGATAATATTCCATCATGTTAACACATTAAAAAGCCTAATATACATATCCCAAATAGTTGGTTTTACTGCCTGTAAGCTAAATACCCATAATTAACGTGCAAGATTATGAATCGACTGAAGTTAATATATACATATATATATATATAATGACATTTAGATTCATAGACTGAATAATAACGTACTTGTAAGCAGGTTTAAATGTTCATCGCTTAATCTATTATGTAATTATACATTATCAAATGTTTAATCAAGCCTAGATTTCATTAATTTCTTTTCTTATATCAATGTGTAGGGAAAAAACTCCATTTTAGGAATCGTTTACTGATCAGGATTTCTCATGGAGAAGCATAGGCTAATCACCAGAATTCTCTATCCAACTCTGTCCTGTGCGATCATTTCCAGTTCCTTCCCCTTTGTTATTCATTTATTCCCGACGCGACTGGTCCCTTGGTCTTCCACTTTTTCTTTTCCCTACAGGATACCAAATTAGATCTGAGCTTATGATACAGCTTGGTGATACATACATACATCTGTCAGTCAGCTACAAGGTAGGACCAAGCACATATATGCATCGTTCCAAGTTGCCATACCTCATCAACACAACAAAATGAACAGAGAAGCAGTTAATTAAGTGTTGATAGTATATAAAAGATAGGTTGTATATGAAGATATAATACAGGAAGAAAGACAGTTATGAAACAACTGTAATCTGACGGTTTAAGGTAAGATAAAGAGTGTATACACGTAAGCCATTGTAATCGATTCTGAGCCATGCCACCTAGAGTCTCCAACCATTGGTTAAGATAGTCACGCGCACCTCAACCAATCAGGCTGCATCTATCAACATGGCTCAGAACACAAGTTAGTGACTTCAAGCACTGATGTCAAGTTTTGATTGGGCCACTCCTAACTTTCTTCCAACCATCACCAATACTAATCAGCATAGCACATCGTGGTAATCAGCGTTGAGGCATACGTAACATGTGGCCCAACCATCTCAGTCGACGAATATTCATGACCTCATCAACTGATTTACCATCATTCCCTAATACCCTGTGTCTAACCTCACTATTACTTACACCGTGATGCCAGCAGATGTGGTTAAATACTAGTAACTTACTAGTATCTTCTACTCCTAATGTCCACGTTTCACAGACGTTAAGTAGAACAAAGCGAATTGCTGTGGCATACATACTTATAATTAGAACAAAATTATGTTAAAACATAAAACAAGGTTCAACCCTCTGAACATGAAATTTCAATTTCATTATACACTACTTAATTTTTGTTAGATTGACCGATATATAAGCAAGAAATTGAAATTTTTATTTAAAAAAATTATGACCCAATAGAATTTTCCTATTGGAAACATTCAGTTGTTTATATTCTGGTTTATCCATTATGTATCCATCCATATATACCAATATGTGCATGTATGTCAAACAATCCAGGTAGACATGTGATCAACATCTATGTACAGTAATGTGTGAACAATTGAAACTTTATCATCTATTCAAATATTAGCCAAAATTTGAATATAATGAAGTGGTCTAATCACTTTATTATTATTACTACTAGTAATGTTTGTAGTAGTAGTTAGTAGTAGTAGTAGTAGTTAGTAGTAGTAGTAGTAGTAGTAGTAGTAGTAGTAGTAGGAGTAGTAGGAGTAGTAGTAGTAGTAGTAGGAGTAGGAGTAGTAGTAGTAGTAATAGTAGTAGTAGGAGGAGGAGGAGGAGGAGTAATAGTAGTAGTATTCCACCCACAAAGAAAAGTCATTATTATTCATTTAAGTCAACAGGCAACTTAACGATTATTTAAACAGTGAATGAACAACTGAATTCATTTTATTAAAATTAATAACTTTTAATTAAACCTCATTATTGAACTTTGAATAAGGGGATTAAAGGAACAAAAGTGAACTAATAATAACAAAAATGAAATTCTTGACTTTAAAATAATTTATGATTGTTTAAATGAATGAGTTATTCATTTGAAGGATGAAAAAATTGAAAGTATGAATTGATCAATGTTACATCACTATTGTAAACCTAAAAGTATCAGACGACAATTTCGACTTAGTATGGGACTCCTCAATAATGCGCATCTACGATTTTGAATGAGGGATTCAAACCTAGGACTTTCAGTCGTGCTTGCGAACGCTATCCATCACAGACAGTGGATGAAGAGTTATGCGAGAGTATGGATCAATTGAAGTTGACCTTCAAAACCATTGGATGTCAGCTCAGTAGTCCAAAGGTTAAGCATTCGCCTGTGAAACCGTAGGTCTTGAGTTAGAATCTCGCGTTGAGGAATCATGGATGCTCCTTTACTAGGACGAAATGGCAATCCAGTTATTACTGGTTTCAAATGGTGATCTAACTCAAATTGATTCATAGTTTCAACCGTTACGATACTATTGTAGTGAATAAAACAACAGTTGGATACAACCGAACGTATTTAGATAAAAATTACTGAGTATCTCACTAAATTCTGTTAACCATACAGTCAACAATTAATTTGCAAAATAACAACCAGTTGTCTCAATCTTCACTGTTCCTTTTATAAATATAAGTTCATCTTTTCTAATTTCATTTTTCATACAATTTTCTACCCATTGGACTTCATTTCAGTTCTTTCCTTACCGATCTTCTGCCAAAATACATTCTATGACTGACCCTCACCATCTACTACTTATATGGATATAAGTAGACCACACTATACTATAATCTCCACAAATCTCTATTCTGATAACTTGTTTATCGATATATGAATTTATAAAAAAGATAGATAATATCTGAAACTATTCAAGAATTGATTCAGGCAACTTGACGATTATAGATTGAATCTAACTTTATGGAATGTTATTAGGCATCAACATATCAGTTTAGAAGAAACGAAGGAATATATCATATTTTATAAAAATTGGATAAAAAGGGTATAACATTGACATAGGATTGTAAATGTGATATGAACATATGTTATTCCAAAATAGATTTCAAACAAACAGCAAAAAATTTTACCAAAGTGAAAATTTCAAAATGTGAATTCGTTTGAAACATTAAAATTCAGGTCAGTTTCTATGTCATCAAAAACATTTTTAAAATAACCGCCAAAATCGATATTTTCAATAAGAAAGAAATGAGATTTATATGATAAAAATTAAAAAAAAATGTTTGGCAGGTAATGATTTTATTTAGCCTGGCCCCAAAATACCCTGGTACGGACGAGATTTGGAAGTATCAGCTGTTACTCTCCAAATCCTCTCACATAGCCAAGCGTTTACAGTCATCATTGGTGAAAAAAGAGGATCTGATGCAGTTGCGAAGGTGAGGAATGGCAAAGTAACGGCCGCATTCCTACAATTGAAGAACTTATGAAACTCAAAACAAATCTCAACTAATTTCAAAGTCAGAATCTTCTGTACATACGTTAAGACAGATAAAATGTGGAGGACTACTACAACCATTGTCAAGAAGGTACAAGTATTTATAAACAGTTGTCTATGTAAGATACTGAATGTCCATTGACCGGATACCATCAGCAACAGCGCTTTATGAAAGATGACAAACCAGCTTCCATCTGAAAAGGAAATTAGAAGATTTTTGTAGTGGATAGGGCATTGGTTGAGTAAATCACCAAACTGCATCACGAAGCAGGCGCTAACTAAGAATCCAGAAGGGAAGCGTAAAAGAGGAAGGCCAAAGAACACATTACTTTTAAAAATAGAAGCATATATGAAAAGGATGAATGTTAACTGGAAAGAAGTAGAAAGGATTGCTCAGGATAGGGTTGGATGGAGAATTCTGGTGTACGGCCGATGTTTCTCCACGAGGGGTGACAGGGGTAAATAAGTAAGGCAATTACACAAGAAGGTTAATGAGATTGATACATACCTAGCATTTAGAAACGTTTAATGGATTATTTTCTCACATACGCGGACACAAAGAATAAGATAAATAAGCAGTCACAGTTCTCTTGTTTATGGATTTCAGTACACTAATTTAACCTAATCTATTTGATTATCAAGATAGCTTGATTAACATCTCACTATTCATCAAATGACAATTCAATTTTGCTTAGCTATACCTTACTTATAATAATAATAATAATAATAATAATAATAATAATAATTGTCTTTTGCTTCTTGATATTTAACGATTGCCAAACTAGAGTTAGTCTGTAATAAAATTTATAAACTTATTAATCACCACAAATGCCCTATAACATTAAGAATTGTTTTAGTAATGCTCATTTCCGTGAATTAGTCAGTTCGAACGTTAAAATAATTTACAAAGTTCCCCAAGTTCAATTCTACGTTAAAGTTACACTTGTGAAATATGCTAACTTCAAGTGGAATTCTACTACTACTACTACTACTACTATACCATATATTATATACTACTACTATCATCATCAAACAGGTATCGTTCCCTAAGTTGGACTTGATAGTTGCAAATTAATCAAGAATGGTCTAGAATGCCAATAATAAGTATGTTTTTTTTGTTATATTCTAAAGAGTAGAAAAACTATATTTCTCATGTTTCGTGACTTAGTGTCAGACATTTCATTAAAGTAAATAAGTAATTGAACTCAATTCGGTCATTAATTTTCTTTGAAGAACAGACTTACACTAAGTGTCTGAGTTTAACGTCTGAGAATGTTACACTAAGTAGCTAAATGGTCTGGAGATTAAATATCCAAGCGCAAGTCCCGCGTATGGAATCGTGGATGTACACTGCTAAGGAGTTTCATACTAGAACAAAACTACTGTCCTGTACTTCCAGATTTTCAGTGGTAGTTTAGCATTAATCAGTTCATGATCTCAATCAAATATCATTTCTCTTTATTTTATTACATAAAGTCAGATAGAATATATATCCTCCTTTTGTTCAAATCGTGTCCCATTATGATCAACAAAAAACTGTAATTTTGAGTAGTTATTAGCAAATGAATAAACATTTTTAAACAAACTACCAGTAAAGGTGATATTGTCCAAGCAAGGACCGCATTCCTACAATTGAACAACATATCGAACTCAAAACAAATCTCAACAAATTTTAAATTCAGAATTCTCAATATGAATGTCAAGACAGTCTTACTGTATGGAGCTGAAACGTGGAGAACTACTACATCCATTGTCAAGAAGGTACAAGTATTTATAAACAGTTTTTTGCACAAAATACTCAACATTCATTGGCTGGATACTATCAGCAACAGCGTTTTATGGGAGAGGACAAACCTGCTTCCAAATGAAGAGGAAATTAGGAAAAGATGTTGGAAGTGGATAGGACATATATTAAGGAAATCACAAAATTGCATCATGAGGCAAGTCCTGACTTGTAATGGTGAAAGAAAGAGGAAGGTCAAAGAACACATTATTTTGGGAATTAGAAGCAGATATGAAAAGGATGAATGTTAATTGAAAATAATTAGAAAGGATTGTCGACGACTGGATTGGAGGAGAATGCGGATGGTTAGCTTATGCTTTTTTAGGAGAGGTTACAAGCGTAAGTAATTCATGATTAGTGATAACATTCTATGGTATCTACAATCAAATTAATCATCATTATTATTGATAATAATATCATTATATCACAATTTTTCTTTTTTTTATTTTAAAGGTGAACCATTTCTTTGTTTATTGGATATTGTACCAATTAAAAATGATAAATCACAAGTTGTTCTATTTCTGGTATCTCACAAAGAGCTATCGCCTGATCGACATGGACGAAGTGAGTATATATACATATAAACATATCTTGATAGAAAAAATGTACTACTTTATTCATTCATAATAAGTTGTTCAAACGTTACCAATTGGAGAATGTAATGTGTGTGTGTGTGTGTGGTTCATACAACAACTATGGATACTAATAATAGTCTGTTGTTGATATTTTTATGACATTTGATGTGATCGTTTTTTTTCTTGGATACATATGAAAATACAGAAAGGATTCATACAATGTAGAAATTATTTATGAAAAAACAGAAGTATTGACATATTTAATTTTATGTTTAGATACTTCATTTCACCGCAGAATCATTCCTAAAGTGATATTATGGTTATTATTATCATTATTTGAACAGATACTAATGCAAAAGGACACTGGTTAAATATGCTACACTTGATTTGTGTGTAGGCTGTGATACTGCCTGGGTGCCCAAACAGAAACAGGTGGTTTTAGTAAAGGGTCACTCCCGGAGCTTTCGACCTATAGGTCTGATCCACAGACAGTGAAGCAACGTCAGGAGATGCAGTCTCATGGCAGCCGGAGATCAACGATTGGTTCATACGCCATTTGTTCATTCAGGATCTTGGAGCCTATATGCATCATTGGTTTGGAATTAGGGTCTACCAACTCCCCTAGATGGCCCTCAATGTCCACCAACCTGGTTGAGGCACTGGATATTCTCTTCCTTGCTAGTAGAAGGCAGTGAGCCAGATCTCCGTGTGAGTGGCTGTATACCCTTGGTCATGTGAAAGCATTTGGAGTGTGAGATCTGACAATTCCCACAATCGGCCGTACCAGGGCATTTGCGAGCCACTTAATATTCACAAATGTTCATACAGTTGTATATGCTACTTATTATTACAAAACTAGTTTTCATAGTTGAAATCATAAGTCAATTGCAGCTAGACCACCATGGAAAACCTGGATGCACTGGACGGCCGTTTCGTCCTATTATGGGACTTCTCAGCAGTGCGCATCCACGATCAGTGGTCTATCGGTCAAGTGCTCTGGCGCGAAACTGGCAGGTCCTGGTATCGAATCTCGTGAATGCGATCGTGGATTCGCATAATAAGACGAAACGGCCGTCCAGTGCATCCAGGTTTTCCATGGTGGTCTAGCTTCAATTGACTTATGATTTCAACTATGAAAAACAAATATTACTCAATCAGTACTCAGTGATCTAAGGATATCTTACTCTTTATAGGAACTGTTATTTGATGTAGTTTAGCATACGTTAATAAAAAACACTGAAACTAGGACAAAACAGTGATCAAATGATTTCTGATTGACAACCTTCCTCCACGATGAATAGTCAACTCCCAGTTTAATAACACTTTTGCTTGAACGCTTTTATTTTGATATCTATTACAGTATTTTGAATTAGATTTATATGTTACTGTAGGAATAAACAAACAACTGAAAAAACAATATTTTCATTCTCAATGGAGTGAATTGATTCAAGTAACGTTTTAATCTATTTCTAATTCAGTATGGTAAGACATATTTGTAAAAAAAATGATACAAAGAAACAAGGTGTAGTTCAATAGAAGTGGTGCATCATATTATTGAATAATGAATTAAGTGTTTTGAGTATCTATGGAAGACAGCAAACTTCTAGCCTGATAATGTATTACTGATCTTTATTATCTAAATATTTATCAAATGTCTTGACATCATCCATTCAAAATCCGTAGTATGATAGTGCTGCTGTAAAGTGTTAAAGTATAAATACATATTTTTTACATAGATGAAATCATGAGTCAATTGGAGAAGGGTTTTTTTGGATATAATAGTAATCAACATATGCTCACTAGTGACTGGCTCCATGAGGTATTACTTGGAGTTCTTGTGAGAAGCAGTGACCAGTGAAGTTCAACCAGGTCTGTTGAGTGATATCAAGTGACTGAAGACAGTAGTGAATGGTTGCTCAACTTCGTGGATTGGTTGAAGTTAGACATTAACACCTTTGGATGCCGACCGGCAGGGTGGTCTATCGGTTTAGTGCCCACGCGCGAAACTGGTAGGTCCTGTGTTCAAATCTCATGAACAGGATCGTGAATGTGCACTGATGAGGATTTCTGTAATAGGACGAATTGGCCGTCCAGTGTTTCTAGGTTTCCCGTGGTGGTCTAGCTTCGATTGAATCATGATCTGAACCATATAAAATATGTCAATACATAATGTATGATGATAATATTTGATTACCACCGAGAACTAATATTTGAATCAGTAAGTGAAGATATTTTATAAAAACTACTTGTCGACTGCTTGAAATAACATTCATTAACAACTTTGAAAACTGGAGTAAAGTACCTCATTTCATTGTTTTCGATCTTACAACATTTAATTTTGTGAGTCCTCAAAATAAACTGGAATTGTAAAAAAGTATACACAATGTTATGTATCACACAACACAGCATTTCTGATTTATCAATGAAATGGTAATGAACATTCTTCATTTATTTGTAATGTCATATTCATTTAGTTAGGTTCTTCTTTAAGGTGTTTCTTCTTTGTTCTCTGTGTCGTCTGTATGATATCTCGATGGCCGTTGTCAGGATTTCCAAATGTTTTGATGTGATTATCCTTTGTAGTTTCCTCTTTTATTCATCTGTGACGTGTTGGTATTTGTTAATCCTGTAGTGTGCATTATTTATCAGAAGGGATATCATTTCTCTTCCACTTTGCTCAACTATTCTCCATCATATCAGGCAGTTGATTGAAATTCTGTATCTTACACTTGTTGACACAACATTCTGGTCAAGAAAATACAGTTGTTCTCAAGTAGAAGCCTGCCTTTTGGCCGAAATTCTCCCATTTCAAAACAACTAGAAGCGTACTACGCTCATATGATTTTGAGATGGTATAGGTGATTTGTAGCTAAAAATCTTTTCCACCATCTCGTTAATTCAGTTAGATTCATTAATGTTCCGTACACTGAAAATCATAACTCAAATTAATTATACTACTCAATACAATTGTGATATAATAAAATAATGTCGACTTTTAATTATAAAAACAAAGAGTATAAGTTGACATAATCAACAACAAACACTAAATGAAGTTGATTTAATTAGTATGTGACAAAAAAGTAGTTTGATTGATTAAAAATTCATTTTTTTAAATGTTAGAAAACTTTAATTACCATAATTTGTTTCTCATATTCTCTATGAAACAAAGAAGAATTATGTTTTCAATAGTTGATATCATGAGTTAATTGAAACTAGACCACCTAGAAGCATTGGATGACAGTTTCGTGCCTCTAAATGCCCTGGTACGGTCGACAGTTGGGAGAGTCCGCTCTCCCTCTCCAAATGCTCTCACATGGCCACGCGTATAAAGCTTCTGTCAGCGTAGTCCTACTCACTGCCTTCTCTTACCTTGAGTGTTGTTCACGAAAGTGAGAGGACGAAAAGCGAATGTCCGGCAGGAGCTTTAACTGGGTTCGTGGACACGGAAAGTTGACCTAAGGGAGTTGGAAAAACGTGATTCTAAACCGATGGTGTACATGGGCCTCAGTATCCTGAGGGAACAAATGGCAAATGAATCAATCGTTGGTCACCGTCTACCATTAGACTGCATATCCTCACGATGCTCCACTGCCTTGTGGATGAGATCTTTAGGTCAAAGGCTCCGAGTGTGGTCCCCTAAGAAAACCACCTATTTCAGTTTGGGCACCTGAGCAGTATCAAAGCCCTCACACAAATCGAATGAGATTTGTGCGGCGCACATATATATGGTGCTTCCTTGTACCAATATTTATGTGTTTAAATAATAATAATAATAACCGTTTCGTTCTATTGTGGGACTCCTGAGCATTGCTCATCCAAGATTCTGCCTCGCAAGATTTGAACTCAAGACCTGTCAGTCCCACAATGAGATGCTTACTGTATGAACCAGATAAGACTAGTATATTGGTATAAACTTATAATGATTTCCAAATTGAAATTTCTTTATTTACGATTACTCATCGTTTTCATCTATATTCTGTGCTGGAATTTGTTTAGTAAAGTGCATAGTGTATTGCTCACTGACTACGAAATCGTTTGATACATATTTTCTTTAGATTGATATCATGAATGGATCGATGTTAGAACACCACTGAAAACCTGGAAGCATTAGACAACCGTCCCGTCCAGGGACAAGACTCATCAGCAATACACATCCACTAACCTTTCACGTGAAACTCGAACCCATGACCTCCAGTCTCTCGCGCAATCGCTTAATCTGTGGACTACTGAGCCGTCATCCAACGTTGAATAGCTTCAGATAAATTTCTTGGAGTTTTATTAAAAAGCCGTGGCCAGTGGAGTTACTCACTGAACACAACGGTAGACGGTGGAGCAATCTCGTGGATTGGTTGTAGTTAGACATTAACATCTTTGGATGCCGGCTCAATGGTCTACTGGCTAAGAGTTTGCGCATAAGACCGAAAGTCATGGGATCGAATCCTGTCTATGAAGTCGTAGATGTGCACTGTCGATGAGTCCCATAATTTGGCAAAACGGTCATCCAACGCTTTCAGGCTTTCATTAGTGTTCTCCATAACTCTATACTAACACATTTTTCTATCAATTAGAAATAAATAAAAACACTATGACTATCGTTTATCATCCAAGGTAAATATTACAATTCATATCATCACATTGCTTACTTTTTGTTGACGTATATTAAAAAAATGAATCTTTAGATAAGTAATTATTTTCTAAAGTTTCGTCAATAAGTCTATTATGTAGAGTCGTCAATTGTTGTTATGTCCAATCAAGCAAATAACTTACATCGAGTTAAGCTATAGTTTTTGATTACCTATAGCTATTTAAAACTAGACTATTGAAATTGTTTGTTTTACTAAATGAATTTTCAGTAAATGATTTACTAATTTTTTGTTTTGTTTCTAAGGATATGGTGATTATGTTTCGTCACTAAACAATAAGAAATTATAGTTGAAAGCGTGAGTCAATTGAAGCTAGACCACCATGGAAAACCTGGAAACACTGGACGGCCGTTTCGTCCTATTATGGGACTCCTCAGCAGTTTACTTCTCTTATTCATCATTATCAACATCTTAGAATAGTCCAATCAACTGTACTATTTATTTTAATTTGAACATATCACTATGTATTTCGATCATAGTTTCTATTATATTTGTAAAATGACTAAACCGATATTAAAGATCAGGAAAAATTTGAAAACAAATTTTTATTCAAATATAAAGCTTACAGTAAGTAGAAAATAAATCATAAGCGCTAAAGCAGCAGAACTAGACAATATTTCAGTAGAAGCACTGAAAGTAGACGTAGCAATAACTACAAAGATACTCCAGATGCTCTTTAGTAAAATTTAAGATAAAGAACAAGTATCAACAGATTGAAATATAAGACACTTGATCAAGAAATCAAAGAAAGGTAATTATAGTAGGTGCGTGAATTACAGAGGCATCACTTTTCTCTGAATACCAAGAAAAGTCTCTGACAGGATATTGTTAAACAGAATGAATGATTCCATAGATCCTAAACTTCGATTTCAACAGGCTGGATTTCGTAAGGATCGATTGTGTACAGACCAAATCGAACTCTACGGATCATTGCGGAACTATCAATTAAATGGAATTCGTCACTTTACATCAACTTCAATGACTACGAGAAAGTATTTGATTGCGTGGACAGGACAACATTACGGAGGGTTCTTCGACACGATGTCGTGCCTGAGAAGATAGTTAATATAATAATGAATTCCTTTGATGACAGTTGACATACTCGATCGAGGTAAAGACCGACGTTAGGCAAGGTGGCTTACTCTCACCCTTTCCCCTTCTCCTGCTGATCGACTGGATAATGAAGACATCAACATCTGAAGGAAAGCACGGGATACAGTGGACAAGTAAGATGCAGCTGGACGATTTAGGCATCGAAGATGACCTGGCTCTTATATCACACACGCAACAACAAATGTAGGAGAAGACGACCAGTGTAGCAGCAGCCTCAACAGCAGTTGGTCTCAACATGAACAACACAATATGCACCAATCAAATCACACTTGACGGAGAAGCTTTGGAGGATGTAAAAACCTTTCTATAACAGGGCAGCATCAATGATGTACACCGTGCATCTGATGCAGATGTGAAATTGCGGATCGGCAAAGCAAGAGCAGTATATTTACAACTGAAGAACATCTGAAACTCAAAACAATTGTCAACCAACATCAAGATCAGAATTTTCAATAAAAATGTCAAGACAGTTCTGCTGTATGGGACGAAAACTTGGAGAACTACGAAAGCCATCATACAGAAGATACAGGCGCTTATTAACAGTTGTCTAGGCAAAATGTTTCGGATCCGTTGACAATACACTATCACAATTAACCGACTGTGAGAGAGAACAAAACAGATTTCAGTGGAGGAAGAAGTGTTGGAAGTTAATAGGACACATATTGTGGAAATCACCTAACTACGTCACAAGGCAAGTTCTCGCATGAAATTCTGAAGGCCAAAGGAAAAGAGGAAAACCGAAGAACACATTAAGCCGAAAAATGGAGAGAGGGAATTGTATAGAATTAGAAAGAGAGGTCGAGGACAGAATGTGTGGGAGAATGTTGGTCAGTGGCCTATGCTCTATTGGGGTTAACAGGCGTAAGTAAGTGAAGAAGTAGAAATTATTGGACTAAGAATCTTATACAAGGATTTTAAGGCTGTAAGTGAATGAATTCTAAAAATTTTAAACTTGATGATTTAACAGATGATCACAGAATATCGTAAATTGACTGAATTTCAACATATCTGTTCAATGTTGGGTGTAAAGAATTTTCGGTAATAGAATTGAGTCCATTTTCAAAATAATTTAAACCTTAATGCCGTCTGTACAACCATTCAAACTGAATTCCTGGTTACAAGCAATCAGATTAATTGATGCAACTGAGAAAACTGAATTTTCGATGGCTTGAGTTAGTTGACATTCACTGATGTATTGTCTAGAATTAAGATTTTCAATCACTTCCAACTGATATCAGTTGGTTAAAGAAATTAATTGTAGATGTGATAATTCTTATTACAGAGGGAATTCGACATTCAGCAATGGTGTCATATTTCGATCCTAGATTCAAGTCTCACGTGCGAGATTGCTGATGAGCACTGTTGAGGTGTCTCATACTTGGACGAAATGGTCACCCAGTGCTTCCAGGTTTTCAGTGGTGCTCTTGCTTAGATTGACTAATGGGTTCAACTAATGAAATTATTACAATCTCCACGAATTCTCACTCTAATAAGATATTAATTGTTACATCTCTAGTAGGAATTCCGATTAAATGTTTACATTTCACTATTAATACAAAACATACATTTTGGAACCATTGACAATACATCCAACCGTATATACGGTGTATGTTGATAAAAACTTAACAATGTGTATACGTTATCAAAGTATAATTTCTTCCATAGACGCAACTAGTATTGTTGCATCAAACTGATTGTTTGAACAACACAGGTAGTTATGAACAAATTTAACTCATTAAATTGATAAAGCTATAGCAGTTGGTATCTGGTTACACTTATTTGGTAGTTGTAGATCCAAAAAAAATACTATTTAACTATTTTATATGTTATATTTGTATAAACAAAAAGATACCCGCCGGTATTACATGAATTACCAAAGATATTGTAAAATTATAATTGATTGATCACTGGGTGGTGATAATTGTCATGCGTGTCAATTCCTTCTTAAAGCTGATCGAATGCTATCGATCAAGTTGCAATGTGGCCATTAGTCTAGGTGGCTCGACATTGAGTGCACTATATTGAGATAAGATAGTGGTTGTAGGTGGTTAACAGGGTACAGAGTTTCCTGTTGACCACCTCCAACCACCATCTTATATTGTAAAATTATTCATCTATCATCTTTGTTATTTATTCAGTTGTGCTCTAATATCTTGAAGAGCTTACATGTCTGGGAGTAATCATCACTAATCCTTCGATTTAACCTTTGTGTTACTTGGCATAAGTGAGTACACTGTTCTTGACATCGTCATGGAGATTACGTTTCCTACAGAATTACTCAGTATCACAGTTTTATATGTGATTATTAAGCTTATCGTGTACCAAATTATTTCCACTGAGCCTTAGAGATATTCATTATTTGAAAACTGACTTGTAACCGATAACATCGATACTAATATGGTGTTGGCTACTTATATCCACATAAGTAGTATATTACGATGGTCTGGCATTGAATATATTTCAGTAGAAGGTCGAAAAAGAAAGAACAGGAACGGAATGTAATCGGTATGAAAAATCACGAACAATGAAATCAGAGACGATGGACTGATATTAGCAGAAGGAACAGTCAAGATTGAGACAATCAATTGATAGTTAGTAAATTAACTGTTTACTGTATGGTTGTCAGATTTTAGTGAGATAATCTGTAATTTTCGCGTCGAATGCATTCGATTATCCTAACTCGTCGTCTTGTTCACTTCACCGGGAACTAAACAAGGTGATCAATCAGGTTAAGTACATGAGGTTTCATTGTATTATTTCGCAATAAATTCGCTGTTGTGACATGAAATAACAAGTTTACTTAGTAGTCATTTTAGTATTTCATTATCACACTAAATGCTTACTGTTATCAGCAATGTTTTCTTTATATAATTTCATTTATAAATTCTAGATAAAGCTAATTGCAGTATACCTGAATCAAGTTTAAAAGTACCATATATGTTATCTGCTCAACATTTAACTGGTACATCACCATCAAACAAAACACCAAATTTATTAACAATGGGATTAGCAACAACAATAACAGCAGCAGTTTTAGGTTCAACTGGATTTCGAAGTAATAAATTATTAGATTATTTAAGTGCTAGAAAGGATACCACAACAACACCACCACCACCAACCACTACAACAACAGAAAATAATGTCATTACTCATAATAAACTGGATAGAAATACTTCAATTGTAAATAGAAAGTTTCCAGATCGTGGTTCTGTGGATTCAAATAAATCCTTGTCGAAATATTCTTCAACAAGTAGTGTTATCAATAGCCCAAAACAAAATAATCTTTTGGATCCAATCGATGTGGAAAGTGGTCCACTTTTAATATCAGAATATAAAAGTAATAATAATAATAGTAATAATAACAGTAGTAAATTATTGACTCCCAGTCGGTTGATAGTTCATGAATCTGAGTCAACTGATACATCAAGTGATGAATCAAGTAATCTAACTAATGATCCATCAACGGTTTATAAATTTCAACGAAGACGAAGTCGTGCTGTATTGTATCATTTATCTGGACGATTTGATCAAAAATCCAAGCATAAATTACCATTTAAAAAGGTGAGACAAAAATTTCATTATTTATTAGTATACTATTTTCATAGTTGAAAGTACGAATCAATTGAAGCTAGACCATAAAGGAAAACTGTGGCGCACTGGACGGCCGTTTCGTCCTAATGTAGGACTTCTCAACAGTGCGCATTATTACATATCATGAACTTTATTAGTAGTATTGTATGTGAAGACTGCACGGAATGGAAAGAAATTAAACAATGTTATAATAGAATACTATATATAAATAACATTTAACATTAAGATATATATCTAAATCAAAGATAACTGATATTTCCTGTAAACTTTTGTAACAGTCATCATCAGCTCGGTAATCCATGATATTTACGTCAGTTCACTGCAGCCATTAATTATGTCATTTTAAAGGGGCTTAAAATGAATAAATGTTCTGTGGGGGACAACAAACCATTTTCCAGCGGAGGAAGAAATCAGAAGAAGCGCTGTAAGTGGATTGGGCACACCTTGAGAAAATCACCCAACTGCGTCACTACACAAGCCGTCACATGGAATCCTGAAGTTCGAAGGAGAAGAGGAAAACCAAGAAATGGAGACAGACATGAGAAGAATGAATATAAAATGGTTAGAACTAGAAAAGAAGGCCCAGGACAGAGTGGGTTGGAGAAAGCCGGTCGGCGGGCTATGCTCGATTGGGAGTAACAGGAGTAAGTAAGTAAGTAAGTAAGTAAGTAGGAATTGAAAAACATATAGAACTGTAAGATTACATCAAAGTCACAATCTTCAATATGAATATAGAAACAGTTAATTCCAGTGTACAAAGCTGAAGCTAGATTAACTACTACATCCATCATCATAATAGTACAAGTATGTATAAGCAGGTATCTACACAAGATACTCATTATCGTTTGATCGGATAACATCAGCAACACCCTACTATGGGAGAGAACGAACGAGTTTTCAACTGAAGAAGATGTTGGTAAAGTATGTTGTAAGTGAAAGCGACATACATTATGGAAATCATAAAACTGTATATAAGGCAAGCGCTAACATGGAATGGTGAAAGGAAACGGAAAAGAAGAATGTCGAAGAATACACCGGGTAGATAATTGCAATCAAACATGGAAAAAATGAATAGTTACTGTAAAGAATTCGAGAGGATTGTTGAGGACAGAGTTGAATGGAGAATGTTTATGATTGATCTATGCTCCTGTACGAGGGGTAACAGATGTATTTAAGGAAATAAGGAAGGAATTGACTATTCGGATGATGTCTGTTACTAATATGTATTTGAACTGATGTAAATGTCGCTGATTCGCACCTTGATAAATACTGTTAAAAATCTTGATAGTATGAGGACCTTAGAAATGAAAAATAGTCTATTTTGTGTTATACTAATGGCTACATTATTGAATATATTCTTTATATCAGTAATATTATTCATATATAATAATATGATTTTTCTTGTATTTCTTTGCTGTGAATTATTACAGATGTTTGAATGTTCATTTATGTAACATAACATGACAACCATTAGAAAGATAACAGATAAGAATGATAAGGTGTTAACCTTTTTCACGAGTTATGCTTCAGCTCTTATCACATTAAAAAAGGATTCTTCAGATCCTTTAATTGAGATCATAAATCGATCGAGGTTAGATTACCATTGATAATTTGAAAGGTCGTTTAGTCCTAGTAGAGAACTCCTCAGTAGTGCTTGACAACGATACCGCACTCTGGATTCGAACCCATGACTTTCTGTCTCGTTCAAGGACGCTTAACCTCCAGACCTCTGAACCGGTATTCGATGTTGTTAATGCCTAAATTTAACCGATTCCCAAAATTGCGCGATCATCTGTTGTCTGGGGTAGACATCTTTTTCTAGCTAACGACAACTGACTTCCAAAAGGATACGAACGAGCATCATCTCTTTATTCTTTCATTGTATTTTCCTTAATTACTACATAATCCTGAAAGTAGTAATTTAAACTGTCAAACTAAATTTGTGATATTGCAATTGCAAACTTCAATGTTGACATGAAATTGTTTCAGAAGTGATCTCTTAAACAAAATTACCAATTGACATTCACCATTACCTTCACAAAAACATTCTTCTGGAATAAACATATAATTAAGCATAGGATTCAAGTGTTACGGTAATACACCTCCCAATGATATTGTTTACTTTGCTGTCAGGTATATTCTTACCCACTAAATAATAATAACAATAATAATACTATCCACAGATATTAGATGTATTATTTACCATTATCAATAATTTTATATAGTTGAAATCATGAGTCCATTGAAGCTAGACCACCATGGAAAACATGGAAACACTGGAAGGCCATTTCGTCCCAGTATGGGACTCCTCAGCAGTGTGCATCCACGATCCCGCCTTGCGAGATTCGAAACAAGGACCTACCAGTCTCGCGTGCGAGCGCTTAATCATTAGACCACTAAGCCGGCCGCTATCCAACGGTGTTAATCTCGAACTTTAACCAATCCACGAAATTGAGCAACCATTCACCAATGTCTTCAGTGAGTTGATATCACCCAACAGACATAGTTGAACTTATCTGGTTACCGCTTCTCACTAGAACTCCAAGAGATACCTTTTGGAGCCAGTCACTAGTGAGCAAATCAGCATATGTCCCACAATAGGACGAAACGGTCATCCGGTGATTCCCGGCTTTCCATGGTCCTTCAGCTTTAATTGACTAATGATTTAAACTATATAAAATTACTAAATTACTAAACGCTCTTCTGATTATCAATAGTTATCATTTGAAATCATAGTGAATTGAAATGATATTAAACGTTTGATCCAAATATATTGTAAATTTATCCTTATCTGAAAACAAACTTCTTTCATAATTATAAAATCAATAACCATATAATCTGAACTCATTCTTGTTATTATACCTCTCTAAACATGCTAATGACTATCTGAATTCAATAGGTTAGTGGATAACGGTATTGAGTAATTGAATCAATAGATACTTGATCTAATTCTCGGAGTAAACATCAACAAAGGTTCAGCTAAATCCATCTCTGACAATTTACACTGAAAGTCGTAATCTATTTATTTAATATAATTTATATTAATAACAGATGATCTAGCCCTCCTATCTCATACACACGAACAAATACAGATGAAGACAACAAATGTTGCAGTAACATTTGCATCGATAGGCCTTAACATTCACAAAGGAAAAGCAAGATTCTCAAATTCAACACGAAGAACGCCAACCCAATCACACTTGATGGAAAAACTTTAGAAGAGGTGGAAACATTCACGTATCTAGAAAGCATCATTGATGAACAAGGAGGATTGGATGCAGATGTAAAGGTGAGGATTGGAAAAGCAACGACCGCATTTCTACAATTGAAGAAGAATATATGAAACTCAAAACAACTCTCAACTAATTTCAAAATGAAAATCTTCAATACGAATGTCAAGACAGTCTTACTGAACGCAGCTGAAAAGTGGAGAACTACTACGGCCATCATCAATATGGTACAACTATTTATTAAAAAAAACAGAAATACTCAACAATAACTGGTTGTATACTATCAGCAACAGAGTTTTATGGGAGAGGACAAACTAGCTTCCAGCTGAAGAGGAAATTAGTAAAAGACATTGGAAGTGGATAGGACATACATTGAGGAAATCACCAAACCGCATCACGAGACAATCACTAACTTGGAATCCTGAAGGGAAGTAGAAAAGTGGTAGTCCAAACAACACATTACTTTGAGAAATAGAAGCAGATATGAAAAGAATGAATGTTAACTGTAAATATGTGGAAAGGATTGCATAGGACAGAGTTAGATGGAGAATGCTGGTGGTTGGCCTATACTCCTACACGAAGGGTAACAGATGTAAGTAAATAAGTAATAAATTTACTTTTCACTATTACCAATATCTCAAATATTCCTAGTACTATTTCAATATGACTTCATTTAATAAGATATCTTGTACATTGATCCACTGATATACTGAATATACTTTTTGCAGAGTGTTGGTTTCCTTAATAATGAAGCACAATTCGTCTAAGTGACTTATTTCAATGCCTTTCCCTCCCCACCCCTATACTTTTACTAAAAAATTGTTCCGTTTTCTCTTTCAAAAAAAAACCTTTTTTTATAGTTTCAACGTATTTCTGGCAAAGAAGCAATACCTGAATATAAAGTTCAAGATGTACAAGCATCAAGATTTATATTATTACATTATAGTTTATTTAAAATTATATGGGATTGGATGATATTATTATGTACATTTTATATAGCTATAATGGTACCATATAATGCAGCATTTTCTCAGGGGGGTGATGAAAAAGATTTAATTATATGTGATATTATTGTTGAATTATTATTTATTATAGGTAAGTGAATTGGTTAAATGATATAATGTACTGTATGTATTGTATTAGATGTTTCATGTTAATTAGGAGGAGGAAAGCTTTGAACCCAGAGTTGGACAAGGTGTTCATTAATAATAGTCAGTGTTATATCGTATGAGTGATTACCCTATTCGATAATATGAACGTGCTGATTCCTGCCAATGAAAGAAGAGCGAATTATCGATCGGAGCAATGATACATAAAATTGTAGTAGCTGTCTTGAGTACTACTTGGTCCTCCCATTTTGCCTAGCCCAGCCAGTTGAGTCCAAAACACCAATAACAGCCTTGGCAATATGAATCATCATTCACAAACATACTGGGTTTATATACCAACCAAACAGACCATATTGTACCATAAAATAGAAAATAACATTTGTACAATAATTGGCCAAATGTGGCTGTGAATAGGGGGAACAGTAATCAATAAACTGATGATAACTCAAGAATCGTATAACAATAGTTCAAAGGTACTGTATGGATTGATATGTTGTATTAGATGTTTGATGTTAATTAGGAGGACGAAAGCTTTGAACACAGAGTTGGACTTGTTATTCATTACTAGTCGTCAGTATGGTATAATTGTAATCTAAAGAGAATTGATGACTTCTGCGAGATTTAAATTTCTTTTACTCAGCATCATTGACTAGGAGGTTTTACCGTTTATCCAGATATGTCTCAAGTGACAATCTGTGTAACTGAAATATTTAAAGTTATCAGTATGAGGGATTTGTGAAAATTGTAGTAGTTTATCTGTTGAATTTGAGAGTCGTTTTAAGCTGGACCAATATTGAAAACTTGGAAGCACAGAACGATCGGATCGTCATAATATGGAACTCCTCATTAATGAAAACCAACGATTACGAGCGTGAGACTCGAACCCATGACCTTCCACCTCGCCTAATATCTAGACCACTGAGTTGCCATCCAACAATGTTAATGTCTGACGTCTGGGCTCGTGGATTTTTACTGCCGAGTTGTCGCTTGCTAGGACGAAACGTCTTACCAGTGTTTCCAGATTTTCAATGGTGGTTCAGCTTAGATAGACTCGTGAGCTAAGCTGTGAAAATATTTAAAGTACTTGACCACTGGGCAGTAACAGATATCATGTCTATCTTGTCCTTTACTAGTAATCGATTTCCAATAACCTTATATCAAATTTGGTAGAATCTTGTTGCATTTTGACCTAAGTTGGATTGTTTAAGTATTTTAAACCAAAAAGTCATTATTAAAAACAAAACACTTAATTTAGTCAAAGACAATGGACTATAGATTCAAACAATGACAGTCAGATTAAAAGTGATTGATGTAGCTTATGTAATGGTCAAAATGTTTTCAACCGAAACACTGACATTCAACGTCTTTAATAAAGCTGTGATTCACATATACAATTATTGATGTTACCATTTCCAGCTTGTGATTAAAATGATCTTTCACTGGCTTAGTTTAATTAATTACCGTCTTTATCAATGAGATATACGATACTAATAGTGGAATTGTGTTTCTGTTATAACTTGTGGCCGAGTGGATGCCGTGTTAACGTATGACATGATAAGACCGCTAATCAGAGAGCAGTGAATTATCGATCGGATGTATGACGCACGAAACACGTACGAGCAGTCTAGAGTACTTGTCGGTCCTGCTATCTGCCTATTCTAGCTAGTTAAGTCCAGAACAGCCTCATCATCATATTTGAAACGTACTGAGTTTATATACCAATCAAACTGACCACATCGTACAGTAAAATAGAAAATAACATTTATACAAGTTTTCGCAAAATGTGGCTGTAAATAGGGGAGATAGCAAATGATAGACAGGGCATATTTCAAGAATGGTAAATTATAGTTTATTGGTCAAAATAAAGCTTATAACAAGGAGAAGATGAATATGAATAGTTTAATCATTTAGCAGTCATACGATAAAAAATATACGCATAGCATTGGTCTATAACCGGATCCCAAAGCTACCATTCATTATTCTTATCGGGACATAATAGTTTCATTAGTTCGGATATAAATTTTCGTTAAGTGTATCCACCATTAAACAGATTCACCGTACATACAAGATGACCACAACAAAGTGAACATTATACTTACAAAATTTCGAATTTTTCAACTGTTCCGCTGTCAATACTACATCTAGTTCAATCACATTCAATGTTTAAATCACTTATCCTAATTGTCTGACATTATTTCCTCATAAAAGTCAAGAGGATGATTATATGACAAACGTTACCATTTGATCAATGTATAAACGTTTATCGTTCAAATTTGTATATATGTGTACATATGCATAGATTCCTTTTCATTACACTTATCTTGTCAACAAACGAGACAACGTAAATCTCTATAAAAGCTCTACTGTCATCATGTCTTCAATCGAGAACGTTATAGAAAACGGTAACTTAGCTATCGATATGTTCTTTGACTTCATTTAATCATAGATCAAAGAGTCTATTCATCACACAAACTCAAACCACTTTTAGTAATAATGACATACAATTATTTCATTATGTATTCATATTTACAAACTAATTGTAAAGAATATTATAAGTTTCAAATATCTTTTATTGCTCAAAATAGAACAGCAATTATCAAGTGATGGCAACCATACAAGCCTAATAGATAAAACTGACAAACACTTTCAATTGTATAACTGATACTCAATATATATATATATATATATATGGTTAGTAATAATAGTAAAATCGACACCACTTAAGTGGTAATGTTTCAGATACTTAGTAACTTAAGCCTGTTATCCCTCGTGAAAAATCGTAGGCCGCCCATAAACATTCTCATTAGAGTAGTAATGTTACTCTGCTTATGTCTCAGATAATAATAATAATAATAATAATAATAATAATAATAATAATGAAATTTCAATAATTTGTAAGATATTTGTGGAAATTGTTAGATTTCAAATTTTTAGTCACTTCAATAGTTAAGAACATGAGTCAACTGAAGCTAGACCACCCTGAAAAACCTGGAAGCACTGGACGGCCAACTCGTCCTATCGTCGGACTCGTCAGCAGTGCGCATCCACGATCACGTCAATGTCTGATTCGAACCCATAACCTATCAGTCTCGCACGTGAGCGCTTAAACTCTAGACCACTGAGCCAACATCCAACAGTGTTAATGTCTAACTTCACCTGATCCACAACATCGAGTGACACATTCCACATTGTCTTCAGTGAGTTAATATCTCACAACAGAACCGGTTGAAATCCACTGGTCACTGGAGAACTGCTGAGGAAAACGAAACGGTCATCCAGTGGTTCCAGGTTTTTCTTGATGTTCTAGATTCAATCGACTCATAATCTCAACTTTTAAAATTCCTATAATATCCACAAAAACCCCCTCTGATATTTTTCAGTAACCGTTTAACTAAGAGTAGAAAATTCTTAATTATGAATAATTGAGGAAATAATTAACCATTTGGTAAATGAAATAATTAATATTCATAGATATTAATTAGTAAATGAGTGAATTAAAATATATAGGTATATATACTGTATAGAGAATGGACAAAACTTTGATAACATGTTGAATATAAAAAAATAGTTGATTTAATTGAAGCTAGACCATCATGGAAAACCTGGAAACACTTGACGACCGTTTCATGCTAATGTGGGACTCCTCAGCAGTGCACATCCACGATCCCACCTCACGAGATTCGAACCTAAGACCAATCAGTCTCGCGCGCGAACACTTAACCTCTAGACCACTGTGCCGGCATTTAATAATATATAATATATTGAAATATTTAGATAGTACAAACAGGTAGCCCAGATATTCATGCAAGGCGCCATAACAACTCACCTTGAAAATATAATACTTTTAAATTTTTAAATAAAATTCAAACAACTTGTAAGAAAACAAAATTTTTAAAGCATCAAAGTGTTGTGGTTTCACTGTTTATTACTTATATATAAAAGGAAGGCTTTTAAGAAAAATTATTGAAGAGACTTTCCTGTGTTTGTAGTAATGAGAGGGAAAACAAACACACTAGGCAGGTGTCAATTCGACACTTGTTCCATTTTTTTCTTATTGCTACAGTTTATTTTACTTAAGTGAAACCACTTGAAATTTACTAAACGCGTTTACTTAAACCTATATATGTATATATGTGTGTTCCTCTTGGGTGATCATCCGTTAAGACCTAATTATATATGATTTCAAGTGGTACGATCATGGTACTTGAAATGTAAGAACATTTCTATTTCTATTTTTAATGTAATTATTATGAAGGTATTGGGCAAAAATTTTATAGAAGGAATAATTAAGATCATTGTAAGGTATAAAGTATAGAATGATTAGTTAGACAATTTGAATAGACAATATCACTTATTGTAATAGGTTCATTATGTTTTGGAACTGCAGACCTTAGTGAAAATGTAATTACTAGCTTAAGTGACTTGAAATCATGTGGATTATGTTTAGATTTATAATGATTAGAAGAATGATGGAACCAGGCTTCATATTGTTTGTCACTATTCAGTGATGCTGTATTATGATTTAACTGATAGTATATGATTAGAACGTACCAATGTTTATTATGAGCAAAGATGGATAGTGGAATGGAGGTGGAATCCAAAACGCGCGTTTCGTCCTATTTGGAATTCGTCAGCTGGATGCGCCTGCATTTAAGAGTTGATGTTCACTCTGGGACTCGAACCCATATTGTTAGAAGCAACTTGAATATCTCAACAATGACACCTTTTGACAACTACAGTGAAGGAAGGGTATATGGATTACCTGTAGGATCATCGATTCCCCAAAGTTCAAAGAAATGCCTTCATGGTGAGAGCCAATTAGCACTATACTTAGATCATCGTTTCCGACAAATAATCTTCAATCGTCTAAGATTTCTCATTCAAATGGTGAGCACTTATTAACATTAAATCCCAGCAATGATAAACTAGAAGGTAGCTTAAAAGAGGATGACTTAATTTAGCCGTCTAAAAAAATAAACACTGTGA